TTAAATATATACTTACATGCTCGTGCTTTATTGAATAAAGGCACGCGAGTCCCATGTATGTCGTTTTGCTTAAATTTCTTTCTTACTTCTTCTCCCCCACTTAAATTAGTGATATAATCCTCCTCTATGACTAATCTCAATAATAATTAAAATATTATTATTTTATTATTATTTTATTCCAAAATTCTCTATTTATCCCCTCGGGTCCCAAAGCATCTCACCTTGCCTCAGTTTGCTTCCAAATCACTGGTTTTAATCTGCTAATTCTATCCTGTTAACAATATTTTTATTTAATTATTATTTTATCACATACGAAATATTTTATTCTAAAATATTCCTTTCGACCATTGCCGCCATTTGGCTCTTAAGTTTTCATCTATTGACCCGTCATCTTGTCGATTGGGTCTTATTGATTTCTATTCGCAAATACAGGGTGTTACACCCTGAGCTAAGGTTTCATCTGATCAAGCTAATGTCACCACATTTTAGTGTGAATAACATTCTCAATAATCATCTAATCATAATTTATGCATTTAAATATAAAGCATCAACAATGCCTATTCAATCATTCCTCGAACTTATTATACATTACATTTTGTATGTGAGTGGGTTCACCTTATTTCGACAAATATTGGTCAAACTTCCACTATTTTGAGTTCTTAACACGCTCTTGTGAATGGCACATCGACCTCATCCATGATCTATCTGGTGGTCCCACCCCACTCAAGCGAGTAGTGGATAAAGTCCTCACTATCATCTAGTTTACCTCGCATGAACAATCATCAAAGTTGCATGAGTGACACTTCGGCCTCACCCACTATCAGCATAAGATCTCTTAATCTTAGGATCATTCTCATCCTTAGCTTGCATCATGAACATATAACATTACCATAAATCATCATCATGCTTACCCTATAATGTATGTGACTATCTTAACACATATATCTCATAGCGTGCATTTTCTTGTAATAACCTTCCTCCCGATCGTTACCAACATCCGAGCCTTGCAAGTGAACCTGCTAAATCCCAAACGAGTCTTAATTGAGATTCCAGATAATGAAATCAAAACATTCTATTGCGTATGTAATCAACTTGTAATAATAATACTATCATTTACTTAAACCAAATAAACAACTGAAATTAGGGTGTAGCAACTAGTTAACAATATCCAAGTTTAATCGACTTCGGGCAAGTTTCAACATCACACTTAGAATTCATTTCTCAAAGTTAAGATTTTAGCAATACATTACAAATAAACTAATACTTTTTATAAGTCTAGCTGTCTTCACAACACTGTAACAACCTCTATGCAGCGGAGTGACTCGGAGTGGAAATCTAAGAGATGCCATTACCTACGTCGCAACAAATCAAAATATGTCGAGGCAATACACTTGAGCTAATCACTTATCTGTGAAAGGAAGATGAAGGGGGTGAGTCTCATAGACTCAGTGATCATCGGCTCCGTGAGTAGGACATAGATGGGATACAACTAAGGACAGAAGATTTGAATATTAAAAATATAAGAATATATGCAAACAATTTAGCTAAAAAAGAAGATTTATGCCTTACATGTAAAATAAAAAATTTTAATACAAGATAATTGTTTAAGTCAAGTATCGAAACCAATACAAGTAAAGATTTCCACCATTGAAATCATTTAACAACTTTACTTAAAGCAAATCAGTATAATCATGCATGCTCCCATAAAACCAAACATTACTAAAACTCATGCTCCCATAAAACCAAACATTACTAAAACTCATACACAAGTTCGTAAATCATCTCATCCTCGAGGAGTTTAAATATAAAATCACTGTATAAACAATAGAGCTATGGAACATCTTATAATTCTCACCATGTGAAAGAATTCGTGTTTGAAAACCTAAAGAGACATCACTTTCGAGTAAGTAATCATAGTAAATCATTTGTAGACCCACTTCCATGTAATAACAATTCGATAGGTCCTCCTCCACTGGATTCCCACAACCATGGCAGTCCATATGATGTAGGTTGACATTGGAGAACTCAACTGGTCACAACCAGGTATAACAACTTGTGGCCTAGCCACATATATACATCACAGATTGTGGCCCTAACCATGTCTAATAGCCCGTTGACGACCCAAAGGTTCTCTAGCTAGAGCTCGCTTGTGCACAAGGGTCACACTATCCCGATGTAACATTTGGCCTACTCTCGAATCTCTTGATTTGATAAAACCATTTAAAAGTAAATTGGGTTCTCAAAAGCTCATTTTAAAACTATTTCCAAAAAAATATACTATTCATGGTAACATGATAAACTTGTTGGTAAGACTTATAATATAAAGCCTTTGCATGAAGTTTAAATATCAAATCAGTATGGTGAATATATGTAATTTGTTCATGAATGCACACCAAACAAACCAAAAGAGGCACGTTTTGACATAAATCGTGATAAAAAGCTTGTTTTCCAATTTCTAAAACACTTTACATATATAGTTATATATACATATACACAAAACCTCTTTAAAAGCATGACATTCATAAGCCTAACATTCTACCAACTCATGCTATCCACAAATTCAATATAACTTGATTACAAATCCATTTAAAAATCACCTACCAGAGCTAACAACGCATGTTATCCATAAATTGCATTTAAAGCAAATTGGCATGTTTCTTAATTGTATATTGATATATATATAGTATGAAAATTTTGAAATAAACACCCTCTACTCACCTTACAATATTGGGACACTATGTCGCTAGCGATTCGGGTGCATATCTAGCTAATTCTACTTGTTGGTCACCAGTTACCTCCTCCGGCACACCACCACGGCAACTTTCCTTTCTCACAAACTTCCTAGGAACAATTCAAACCCAATACACTTAATTATACTCATATACGGGTAGCACATCAATCAATAAATCATTATCCTACTTTCAAAGTTTTCATCAACATTATTCGCAATCATTTAACATACAATCCCCATACTATCAACCAACCAAAGCCAACACAACACAATGTAGTCACATTACATGCTTACCTCTCAGTTTTCTTCCACTTTGAATCCTTCACTTTGATTCTTGAATCCTTGAAGATTCTTTCTACCACAATCAAAATCCTACTTTATAATCAATTTACAAAGCATGCATTCAAACAAAATGACAACCTTTACTTTTCTTACCTTAAAATCTCCAAACCGAACCTCCACTTTCTCTTTCAAGTTTCAACAATGGCATGCAAGAGAAAACCTTTCGATTTTCTCTATTCTTCTCCAAAATCGAGCCTCTTCCAAGCCTTTTTCTCCTTTCTCCTTTCTCTTTTCTTTTTTCTCTTTTGTTCTCAAGGACGATTCTCTTTCTTTCCTCTCAAATGTGAGGGTTTTTTTTTCTTAAGGCAAACTCAATTTGTTTGGTTTTGTTTTTCTTTCTTTCTTTTTTTCTTTGGTATGGGTGAATTCTTCCAAGCTCCTCCATCAACTCAAATCTCTTTATTTATCCCTTTCTTCTCATTGGACCATTTCATCCCCCACTCAAGTTTCTTGCACCAATTTCCTCCCTTGTTCATTGGCCCAAAATCTATCCTTACTTTACTTCTCCATCTGCCACCTTCACCATCCCATTTTTCCTTTCTTCATTCTTTATTTCATGCACCACCTTATTTCTCCAGTCACATTTCATGCACAAGCTTCACTTTATATTTTATTTGGTCATTCATTAATCTATTCAAGTCACATGCATCCCAGATCTTTCTTTCCTCATTTGGCCACCTAATGCACTTATCATATTATATGTAATAAGATTTAGTCTTATTTTTCTTTTTACTTCACATGGTGGGGTCTCACATGTTTCCCACTAACTTCTTCCTTTTTGCATACCATAATTTGCATGTAATAGTGAATTCACATGCATATCTCATTATCCCACATAATCTAACTTTTCTTGATTAGTTAATTTACATTTACCTTCAAATATTGAAATTGCACATAAGTCTTCAACTTTTTTTCCTTATTTACCAATTGACCCTCTAATTTTTCATCTTTTACAATTTGGTCCTTCCAGCATTTCTTTAATTCTAATTTTCTTCTATTTTCCTTCCTTTTACACTTGCACAAGTAAAATATAAAATTTACAGCTCATCAAGGTGTCACCATAATATTTAAATATATACTTACCCGTTCTAACTTTATTTAATAAAGACACGCGAGCCCCACTAATGTCATTTTTCTTCAAAATTCTTTCTTACTTCTTCTTCCCCACTTAGATGGTCATATAGTCCTTCATGACTAATTTCAATAATAGATAAAATATTAATATTTTAATATTATTTTATTAATAAATATTATTATTTTTAAATATTCTTTTTACTTGTCACCGCTTTTTAGCACTTAAATTTATGTCAATTGACCCTTCGTCTTATCAATTATGTCTTATTGGCTTCTATACGAGAGTACGAAATGTTACATTTCTAACCTCATAAATCACTTACGTGCTTAGCCCACAATGTACGTGATGTGCTTTCACTTAAATCTCTTGACATGCATGTTACAATCTTATAAATGGAACTCATGCATCCAAAATTATTATCATGCTACTTCGTATGTAACATGTGAAAAATAACATTCATACATTAACCATAGAAATATCTCATAGCCACACTAGCCCAAAGGTCGAAGTAATCGAATGGACTACAAACATCAAAGAGCTATACCCCCTTATTGAAAACTAATACATAGTAGCATATTTACATAGATATTAGGTTTGTAAATAATTTAAAAATCATTGTGTCACACATATCACAATCATTATCAAATCAAGTCATTTGAACAATTCCTTGAAAACTTCATAAAATCTTGTAGATCAAATCCTTTGATAAACCATTTATGTAAATAATTTTTCAGCATGCTTAAACAACCATTTCCATAAAAATCATGCTAACTTTACATATTAAAATACTTGAAAAGGTGTATCCACTCACCTAATTGGAGAGTCAATTCCTAGCTCCAATCACAACTTCATTTCGCCAATATCCATAGAGTTTTCAAGTGTTCCTATCATACAACAATCATCATAATCATTTCCTAGAGTAAAATCTCGTAATAACCATTCTAAGTACTTTCGAAACTACTCACTTTTAACTAGACTAATTTTCTAGATAAAACCCATGCTTGAATACCTATAAGTATTTCATCTTTACTTTAGGTAAGCTTGGATGCTTAAGAAAATCACAAAACCTTTAAGCTATAATCACCAACAGAAAATCTGGACGATAAAATCATATTTTCATAAACTAGGAATCAAGATTTGAAGTTTCCAAAGCTTAAAAGTCCCCCACTTTTCATAACAACTCAAGACCACATCATTTAATCATTAAAAATGAAGATTTGAGTTAAAAATGAGATGAGAGGGTTTGAGTTGAGAGAAATACCTTAGAAAATGGATGAAGGTTGAAACCTTTTTAAAAAAGTGACGTATTTATAGTTTTGAGTGTGAAAATATAATTTTGCCCTTTTTATTTTTCTGAAATCAATGAAATATATCGATACATTTAGGCCATGTATTGACCATATATATCGATACATGATGAACACGCATTAATATATATGAAACATAATGCATTTTTAAGATAGATTACCTACAAAACCAGCCCAACTTATTTTCATTAAATACCGTTTAAGTAAATGTCCTTAATTTTACTTCTTTCCTTTTTACTCTTTATTTTTTTAAGATATTTAATATAAATAAGCAAACAACCCCCCATTTGGATTTAATAAAAATATCAAAAAAATCAAAATCCTAAAGAATCAAGATCTAAATTTTGGTTTCAAGAAAAAAATTGAGAAAAGTTTGACTGAAATTAAATTTAGAGCTCCCATTTATTATAGCAAACATACTCCAAAAATTATGAAAAGATCATTTTCGGTCATCTAAAAATCAAGGGATTATCACTGATTTTTATTTCCAAAACTTGTTCTATAAAAATAACATATTTTGATCCCTTTCTAAACTTAGAAAATTTTCTACTTCAAAAGTGATAGACAACCAAAACTGTCAATGAATTCTTTTGAAGGTTAAAACTAATTGTGATGTTCAAAATATGTATTTTATATGCTCACCTATGGATTTCCTAGCTTACCATCTTACTTAGGGTGGGATTTCACATAAAGCATGACTTAGTGTCTACTTATGACATTCCATGTTAGTTTCATAATTCATGACTAACTTTATGAATTTAGGAAACTAACTTTCCTTAAATTTATTATACTTTGGCCAAAGATTTTATACAAGTAATCTAAAATTAAGAACAAGTGAGATGCATCCCCTCATATCACTTGGGGCTATGAATCATCTCTTTAATAACTCTTTTATGCTTCATGGCACACCCAAAAGGACCTTATTTAGGTATCTGGTCACCTCTAAACTGGTAGGGGTGAAATCAAAGTATGCCATTCCTCACACAAAATGACTTGGTGTCTCAAGTTCGAGGACTAGTTGCACGATTATCACATGAGAACATATTTCATAGACAATTGAGTGAAATACTAAATAGAGTTCTCATAGCAGGTCATGTTTAATGAACTTTTTCTGTAACAAGCACCCACATGCCTTCCTCAAGTATCTCATATACTTCAGTCTATGAGAATGATTGTTTACTTTCCAAATAAATAAGCTTAACATGTACTAGTATTTGAGCATTGATAATGCCTTTAGTAACACCCCTGATTTTGATGGTAATGATGCTAAATGAATGTTAAGCTATTGAATGAGCTAATGATATTTTGATGTTAATGTTTGCAAATGTAAGGAATGCCTATGTCCATAGACTGATGATTATGAAAATGTATGAGTATTTAAGACTCAAATAACATTATGCATAAGTTTGGAACCTAAATGAAATAGTGTATATGTTAAAACTTAAATGAATATGCTATGAAAACAAATATGCTATGTTTGAATTATATGCTATGTGACTGTAACGACCTCTTCCCGTGATCGTTACCGACGTTCGAGAC